AAATTTATTAACCTCCAATAAGCATCGTGGATTCTCCTGAACTACCTTTGAGAACGAGTTACGTATTATATTTTGGAAAGGGATTATTAAATCGCAAACCGTGTGTTGGTCCTAAACAATATTAACTTCCAGGTACAAACCCGAGAAGACGAACAAAAAGAAATTAAAGTCCCTGGCTTTTTATTACACCTGAGAAGTTACGTTAACTTTAAAAACTGATATATTTTGGAGAGACTCTCCCGGGACTTGGCGAAACGCACAAAGTCATATTGAGTTTGCTCCTTGGATTACTAACAAGAGTATTAAGGGCCTGGAACTCGAAAGTTTTTAATGATTGCCGTGGTGTTTATCCGTCACTTGCAGGCGAAAGTTTGCTTTGTTTAGTTCACAAAGGAGTTGAAAATCGATGAGAAATTTATTTCTTTTGCTGGTGGCTAACAACTTTGCCTGTTGAAGGTTTAAACGCCGCTACCGTCAACTGCGGTCATTTTCCAAAGTTCTTTCTGTGTTGAATGTAAGAGTTTGAAAATGCATTTTCAACGAGTTTATTTTAGAATTTTAGTTATTGAAGAAGGCTGCATATAAGTAATAAAATAATATTTCAATCGCATTTTTTTGCAGCTTTAAGAAAAAATCCGAATTCTTATTTAATTTTTTTTGTTTTTGTCGAATTTGTGGCAGACAATTATAGTGTTATATAGATGATAATAATTGAAAGAAAAATCTAATTAATTTTACAGGTGAGGTTAAGTTCGAATTTTTGCATATCTATTGAAACAAAAGACAGAAACTTGCGGAATGAATCTGGATGTTCTCTACAACCCTCAAATTTGATGCCTTTGATTTTCCCGTACTGTTGTTAATTAACGTTTTAGTTAAGATGTTTTTGAATGGAAATTTATACGTCAATGAGAACATCTAGCCGCTATAAAAGTTTGACGAAATCAGAGAAACTCTCTCCTCCAGTTCTTTGTATATTTGTGTATACAAATATAATATAAACATTCTGGGAACCGTCTCCCTATCCTCGATTTTCCGGGCTCCAAGAAAAGTTTAGACTTATTCTTAGCGAATGTGTTTCCCTCTGCTTGTGTTGTTCCACTTTTGGGGAGGTCGGGCCTCTTTTATATATTATATAGCGACGATAAACATAAAATTGTAAACTGTGGAGATCATTGGGAATAACTGCACGAACAACCGTAGCACTTAAGGTTTGCCCTTTCGTAAAATTGCTTTGGGAAGAAGCTTATGCCAGTGGCGTCTGTAGAGGGACAAGAGATTTAAAACTTAAATGTTTCATCTTAACAATTTAAATTCTAGATCAATCAATAATTCGACATCACTAAAATGAAAATATTTCCGGTTGGCCAAATAAGCTTTAATTGATACCAGTGGTGTGACACAAGGGTTATTAATATAAAAAAATTAAATTAGTTTGTCCTTTTTTATTCAGATTTTTAGTATGTGGAGCCTCAACTTTCATTGGTAAATATCAAAACTTATAACGTAATCATCTACCTAGAAAGGGGGACATGTCAATTATCATCTTTCATAATGTGCCAATTTTTTTTAATTTTTCAATTTTCTAAAAATAGATTAATATATAAAGGGAATTGCTAACTAAACGGAGCTTTAAAGGAGGCGATATTTTTTTAATTGATTCGTTAAAAATAAAAGTCTCCAAATCCCGCCAAAGCCGCATTATTCATTGTTTCGGGTCGCAAACATGGTTTCAAATTGAGTTTTTCTCTTTTTAAGCGCTAACGGAAACAAATTAAAAGCATCTGCAAATAGAAGTTCCGTACTTAATAAACAAAAAGGTTTGTTTTCTTTTGCGGTCGTATAATTGATTCCCGGGGACGAACAAATGAAAGGGGAAAACGCTACGGTGGACCACCGTCGTATTTGCGTTTTTATAAGGATTTCGTATACGATGCGATATTTTTCTCTAAATTGTGGAAACTTGTTCGTCCCAACTAAGAATGGCCAATAAGAAGGAAACAAATGGGTATGTTGAGAAAATAAGTCAGAATTTCGTCTTGCAATTGAGTTTTTGAAAATTACCGCTTGGGGAGCCGTGTTCTAACTGAAATTTAAAATGTAAGTAAATATTAAAACTTTTATAAAAAATTGAGGAGCTCGGCCGAAAATATGCTTTCAGTTTCTATGAACCAGGAAGATACGAAACAAGGTTTTTCGTAGATATTTTAAGTTGTCTTTGTTGCGAGTTTGGAATTTAGTAAAAATAGGGCTAATTTTTAAGAGGGAAAGAATTTTACAAAATAGGCAGTTTTGGAAATGAAATAATTTTAAGACACGATCCCCTTTTTCCTCCAAGTAGGTCGTTTTTTTTAAACATTTACATGAAAACCGGACAATTATATTTAACCTGATTCCGCATCGATACTTAGTTAGGTCCAAATTGGATAAAAAAAGGATATTTTCTTGTAATCTTATTAATAATAATTGTTTAGATCAATGGTCGGCAACCAGCGGCCCTTTGAGCGTGACAAAAATGCGCACTAACAGAATCATAGTGGGAAGCTTGTTAGTGTAGCATTCTTTCATTTCTCCAGTTTGCCACTGAGTTTATATTGACAATCGTACGACGTTTGACTACAATAGGTGATGTGAAATACATGTTATTTTTAATTTAAAAAAACAAAAGTGAATATGATCAATTTGAATCTTGAATTCAAAAAAACTAAAATTGATTCTTTACAAAAATCATTAGAAGCACAACAAAAAGTAATGAAAAAATGTAATTATTGGTCAAGATGTCTTTACATATTTCGAAATTAATTGCTGAATATGAGAAACCATTTACTGATGGAGAATTCATTAAAAAATGTATTTTGGTTGCTGTTAACGCAATTTGTGCGGAAAAAAATAAAAAAAAATGAAGATACTAATTGGTGTGCACGTAGTGAAACTATAACTGTATCAACCGATATGTTTAATAAAATAAAAGAAAATTCTTTACAACTTGAATATTTCTCACTAGCACTTGATGAAAGGAACGATATAACCAGCACCGCTCAATTGTTCATATTTATCCGTGGAATTGGTAAACAATTTTGTGTAACAGAAAAACTTGCAGCATTAAAAAGCCTCCATGGGAATACAAGAGGTGAAGACATATTTTTGAAACAATTAGATGTTTTCAATATGTGCGGTCTGAAGTGAAAACAATTAAAAAATGTGACAACTGACGGTGCAAAGAATATGACGGGTCGCAATACTCGTTTGGTAGTCTTAAGTAATAAAAAAAAATTAAGGAATTCAATATTACACAGGCTCCTCTATAACTTCATTGTATTATTCGACAACAGGCAAATGTTTTTGGCAGAAAAATGCAATAGAAGGCCAGAATTATCAAATTTTGGTTGAAAATTTTCGACAAATCGGTTTCAAGATTTTTAGAAAATATTTCAAAATCGTTTAAAACTTGATATTTTAAAAGCACCAGATAGTTTACAAGAGTTAATGGATTTGCATTGTAACAATATTTAATTGTATTTTATTTAAATCTACCAGAAAAAATAATGATATGTATATTTTCAAGAATCTGTTTATGCGAACAAATCTTTTCAGGAATGAATTCGGTAAAATCAAAGTATAGAGCGTGGTTGACGGATGAAATTTTACATATCTACAATTCTGCAGGATCCAAATGAATTCAACAAGATTCAAGAATAAAAAGGGCATTGAATTTCAATGAATGAATAAAATGAAAGATAAACTAATATCTTATATGTTTCGTATTTACATATTTATTTATATGCAATTGGAATTTTATTTTCTTTTTCTGTTTTCTTTAATTAAAGGACTGCACATTTGGATGTGCGGCTGGAATAACAGTTTTGCTATGAGAATCTAAGGATAATAGAGATGCCTATCAAACAAATTCATGTTAATTTCGATAAATAACCTGCAAAACTTAGAAAGATACATCAGTGGCATGACACGCATTTTATACAAGATCTATACTTGCACTAGTTGACCGTGATGGTCGAATTTTAACTGCCCCTCCCTGTAATTTTTCGTATTATTCGTTACGGTAAATCTTTCCATCTTTTCTTTTTTCGCTTTAACCTAATTAATAGTGAAAAAATCCTATTGTGAAATAGTCGAAGTTATTTCTGATATACCTTTATCGAATCATTTTATGCCAACATAGAAGTAGTTTTACAATTCGTTGCTGTCGGGCGAGTTGGGAATAAAATAGTCGAAATAAAATTTTTGCGGAACGCCGAATCATGAAAAGGTTTGGCGATGTTTCCAAGAAACAGGCATATTTATACTTTGTGTATTGTAGTGAACCAATTACGTTTCCATAGAAATTACCTGTGCTTTTATTTGACTGTTACGTTGCTGTTTTTTTATACATTTCCTGTATTTTACATTTAACTGAGGTTTATTTACGACTGCGTCAATCTCTGAGCCAATTTTTGTCGGTATTCATACTCATCGAATACATTTTGTATTTGTTTTACTCAGTACTCCTTTTCGAGCATTTTCACAAAGCACGTGATAAAAAGAAGCATAATAAAATTGACATTGACGTACGATCACAGTCGGTCAGAATACTCCGAGCAAACAGATTTACGTACCACTATTCAAAGCCCTATTAACGGTTTTGATTTAGTTCCCTCATATCTAGGTCTAATTAACGAACGATCCATAGCAAAAAGTTAGGTTGGACGGAAATAAGGAACGCAGTTACTGCTTTCAGAATGCTCAAATTCTTGATCCTCAATTCAGTATAATTTAGTAGGATATGGAAACAGCACCTGCATTTGGTTAAATCTTAATATTTTGAAACGAAGTTTCTAAATTACTAATAAATCCACCCTCCATGGTCCAGTCCTAGTATTTCTACACAGTACATTGCATGTTATGAGTAATTGCAAACATTGTTTTTGCCTGTCCTTCATATGCAACATTTCGTAGCTCAACATGTTAATTGAACAATTTTCGATATTTTGACCATCGCTCACCTCGCACGTGGCCAGAGCGCACAATCCAGCCAAACACACGGCCCAGGTCCAGCCTCTGACCGGCCGCGTCCTTACTCTGGCCATGCTCTCTGCGGCGACCCCCCTGTGACGACGCCTCTGGCTAAGCCATCACATTGGGCAGCCTCCGATCCGAGTAATGCACATACGGGGATCTAAAACAAACGATTCAATTACTAATAACAGTATCACAATATCAAAAATGGAAAAGCCCTTAATAACATTGAAATTGCTGAAAATGTGCTTTTTTTTCAATATTATCATATGGTCTGATTCAGAAAGTGCGTTTTGATTGGCCACAGCTAACAAAACAGATGCTTAATAGGTTTTGAAAAAGCACCATACAAAATAAAGCGATATAATGTTTAATATAATTGTCAATCAAAAATGCACTTTTCTAACTGTGTTCTTCAGGTTTTCTTTATTATTAAATTTGAAAATATATCCGTTTATAAGAAAACTACAACTAATATACAGTCAGCGAAGAAAAAAACGGGGTACTTAAAACTGGATTCAACTTTAAAGTTGGCTTCCTCGTAAACCACCCGTTTGATGATGATTTTTTTACAGTTCCTCAGTAATGATGTTATCACTTTTTTTTTTTTCAAATTTGAATTTAAAGCGAACGTCTCTGATGAAGCTGTGAGAACGTCACAAAAAATATTAAAAACTAAGCTTAAATCTGGAACTTAAAGTAAAATAAAAATTTAATAACAACAAAGCAAACTGACTTCATTGATAAAGTTTGCAAGAAGAAGTGGAATGGCATAAAATTATCTAAGTGCAATTAGCAGATCATGAAGGGTGACGGGTACAGCATTCTGGTGACGAACTCGTTTATAAAGTTTGCATGAGAGGTGCTCAATTTTTATGTATTTATTTATGTATTGTCCGTAAAAAGTTGCTTCAGCTTTTTTTCTAAACGCTCTCAAACAGTTTTCATTTTAGATTTTGAAAAATATTGCAACGCATTTAGTGAAAGCAGCAACCGCAATTGGTTTTTTACAAACTGCGAAAAAGTAGTTCCCCATTGTACTTTAATTTTTAATTTTGCCTCCCGCATCTAACTTTAATGAGGATATTATGGTCACGAAGTTGTTGAGCCTCGAGAAGTTTTCCTTCTTTTTTTATCCTTTTCAGGGATAACAATTTAAACGTAGAGTGCTGGAGATGATTTACGGCGCAATTTGCAAAAGTAATGAGGCGGATGAACATTTTTTGAACAGGAAGCATAATATAAATAAACTTGAATACAATCGCAGCGTCGACATTTTACCGCAAATTGGATTTTGCGAAAGCATTTATTTGTTGACGTTTCAGATAAGCAATTTTTACATTACAGTTACCATTTAATCATGACAAATTTTAAAAAAATAGAAGAATATGCGAAGTATCACTCAAAGGCTACTTTTAAAATTAACCTTACAATAAAAAAAGCAGATACTTATGAACATCAAGTAATAAACAATCGGGAAACATCCGAAATCCTTATACCAGCCATATGTTAGGCAGCTTTACTTGGTTCTGAAGTCACCTTATATTCTATAGAATCTGAAAATACTCAATATTTAATATTATTATTTAACAAATGACTCTTCAGTGAGTGTGGTGTGAGATCTGAATAACATAATCAATATGACCTACATTCAATCCATTTTGTTCTTCGATAAGTAAGAAATATATTCATATTTGTGGGAACTAATAATTCTTGTATTTGCCCAAAACATTTTTTCGTATTTGTTTTTGATTTTTTTATATATTTAATTAAGATTAACGAAGGAAAGCTGAAATATATTAGATCGGAATAGCACAAGAGAAAAAGTATTTTCAAATTGAATCCGTTTTAAATTACGAAGAAAGACATCCTTTCATTGTATAAATGAAACAAGGAAATAAATTATGTACAAGCTGAAATTAGGAAAAATTACTGGATAGTCCAGGGAAGACAGAGAATAATAGCTATTATAGAAAGATTTTTTTTTACAAGCAACTGAAAGGAAAATCGGGAAGTTGTGTATTAGGTTTCAGACGTTTTATCGCCAGAAATGGTGTGTTAGCATTGTTTATTCAGATAACTCAAAACCTTTTAAACGGACAGCTTAGGAATTAGACGAATATTGAGAAATAATAGATTTCATTGAAAATTTAGTATCGAAAGCGGCCAATCACAGTTGTGTAAAGTCAACTGATGATGACAAGTATTTTATTATTATTATTATTACTAGCGTTATTGTTGTTTGTATTCTATAAAATCAATTGGTAAATGGATATGGATAGTTTTTATCTTTATTGTTATTACCTACATCATATTTCAAGCCATCGACAAGGAAGCGGCAGCTTATCGATACATAATTTTTCGTGATTGTCATTATGCTTTTTTAATGAAATTTTATAAACTCATGTTTTTTACATCGAGTTGAATAATTTGCAAAAACAATATCAATTTTCATATGATAGTGGTGGAAACAATAAAATGGCAGATTTCGTTAAACCACATGTCCGCACCACAATCGAAATATTAGTTTACAGCACATAACCCTCCCATAAAGCAAAATAAATTTTAATTTCTGGTGCTATTCTGGCGTTACGTTCCCAAGCGCATCGAAATTCGCCATAAATTCGTTTTATTTTTATGGAAATGTAGGAAAAATATCGCAGACGATTATTTAACTAACTGATTTTCGTCAATAAAAAATTTCGTCGATTTTCAAAAATCAACAGTTCCCAGAGAAATGATCGAAACGAGTTGAATTTTATTTTTCTCGGAACAAAAGGTTCGTGTTTCTGAAAAACACGCCATGCAAAGGTAATAATAAGTAGGCAAAGGAACGGGGCTGCTTTAATAGGCTAACAGGTCTTGACTCATTTATTTTTAAAATGGTTAATATGGTTCTCATGAGAATTATTTTTAGTTACGTTGTAAGTTCACGAACTTTGTATAAAATTAATATATACAAAATATTAAATACAGATCGACAAATTAAAACACGGACACATTAAAACCATTATTTCCTAATTAAATTGCTTCCGATTTTAAAAAAGGATGTTCAAAAAATAACATACAAATAAAGAGATAGTCTCGAATTTCTTAAAGGGGATTTAATTTGCAGCATGTTATTTAAACCCTCAGTATCTCGTTTCATCAGTCTTTGGCCTGCGATCAATAAACTGAAGCTTAGACCGAAAATTTTAAGGGTTTTTTTTATCTTGATATCAGACATATCTAACTTAAAAAAGTCAATATTTGCTTATATATAGCAAAATTAGTTTTGCCTAGATTTGCTATCAAGTAAATAGAAAGTGTGTCCTACGTATAGATATTAGAAAATAATTTTGAGTGGTTTATAACAACGACCATTCCGAAAATGCATTTTACAATAAAGAACATTAACGTGGTCTATTTTTTTCAAAGATTTGTATAATAAATAGTAGGAACCAAACTTAGCCAATTACTTATTGCTAAACTTTGCCAACACACAATTTTTGTGCACAAGATTATTCAAATTTTTACTGAATTGCATAATACGTAGAGGAGATACTTTGGGGTTGGATAAGGAGATAGAGAGGTTATCATCAATTACAAAATAGCACTCACAGATGAGAAGATTACCGTCGTAATTGGCACTGGAGATTACAAAAAGTATTTAAGTCGACCCTTGAGTGAAATCGTTGAGAATCCGAGCTATTGAGGGAAGGAGCTATTTAGTAATGTGACTACTAAAATATCGTTAAAGAAACACTGATGCAGATCAGAGGAAACTTGCCGAATATGTTCTAGTTTGTGTAAACTCCGTTGGAAAATTCGGTACCTGCAGATGTTAATCAACAAAGCATCAGTGGAATTGTCAGTAATAGTTTGCTCTTTGCACAAATCCGTTAGCATCAAGCAAAAGCACCTTAGTGCATTTGGAAAAAATCTATGAAAGTGATTACTCAACTTTCATTAATTCATTCTTCCTATTTACCCTGCGTATTTGTACGATGCTTCCGTCTATAGTTTCGTTAAAAAGTAAACAGACATTTGTCAACACAACACAAAATAAGACAGGAACTAGTTGCATCCAGAGAGATTAAAATGAAAATCAGAAGAAATAGCAACGTTTCATGAAAATAAAAGGAATTCATATCGAATTTCAATGCGCCTGTTAAAGTAACGTATAGGTGCGTTATGCGCTGCAAACTGACTTTTTAAATGTTGTTTAACGAAATTTGGCATTTTATTGTTTCCACCACTGTCATATGAAAATTGAATTTTTTTGCAAATTGTTCAACTCGATGTAAAAATATAAGTTTTATAATTTTCTAAACAATCATATATTTACTTCAATAAATGATTTAATTAGCTTCACCAAGAATAAAAACAAAAGGAGTAATAGAAAGTTGAAAACCCAACAACTTGAATTGCTACAAAAAAGGGGAGAATATCTTAAACGAGAAAAAAATGGATCTTATTTACTGGTTCCACCACTTAAGACAAATATGAAAGTAAATCAAACATTGGCCTTCTAACATAGATTTCTAGATATTTTAAAATATAAAAATCAAATTTTAGTACAGTAATGTGATAACAAACAGTACGGGAACGATTTTAAAAAAATATATTTTATCTAAATAATATACATAATTATTTGTATATAAGTTTTAATTAACAACCATCCAACTTTAATAAAATATATAAACAAACCCGCCACAAATATGTAATGAATTTTTATGTTATTTATTTCAACAAATATTTACTACTGAAATGAAAAAAAATTAAAATTAAAAACTTTTCTAAGAAGAACATGGGTATGGGACACAGACTATGTTATACAGAATCACAAATTAATTGCTTTAATAGTCTATAGGCGTAAAGAATAAATCCTTAATATTGTCCAATTTTATGTAATATTCAATATACAAAGGTGACTTCAAAACAAACTAAGTAAAGCTCTCTAATATGGCTTCTATATGAACAGCGATTTTTTCATAATTGATTATTACTTGATGTCCATAAGCATTTTTTTTATTATATAAAAAGGTTAAATTTAAAAGCAGACTTAATAGTTTAACGATCGTCGTGATACTTCCAATAAATTGAAATATTATTGTTCTCGCCATCGTTCTTATCTTTGCTCTAAGCTAATCAATTTTATAAATATAATACAAGATGTTTTATGCTGGCCAGTTTTAAGTAGCAGAGTTCTTTGCAGTTGAAGTATTACTCTACTGTCTTCTTCTCAAACATGGGCTGGTAATACGTGTCCAATATGATTTTGTTCACAGTAGTAAACTTTTGTTTCCCAAAATATATAACTATTTCAATAAATCTAATAAAAGCCTCATTGAAATATAATAATTAGTCTTGCTGTATTAATCGGCGGAAACATTGCATCTACATGAAATATGCAACCAATTATACGCTCGTTTCGCTCACTCAGAGAACAATGAATTTGCGCACTTGAGATGCAACAAGCCACTTTGCTCGTCATTTTCAGTTGAGTTTTGCATTTTGCAGGAAGAACTTTTTGAACTGGCATTTGCAAAGCTTTCAAGTCGAGCATTTTCCGAAGCGATTCCAGCAATTTTAACGAAATAACACTCGAGGCTTCTGTCGCGCAGTTAATGGCGTCGTCTCACCTTGACACGAGGCTGTAGCTTTTCCCCAAATGTATGTTTCCTTTGAAACTATAACACACCCACGACGACGCACCCACTAAAACACTTTACAAACAAATATTTAACGAATACGCTGTTCCGCCGCGATATCAAGTTTTTCCAAAAAAGCAGCTTCGCATTTTCAATGCCGGTTTATTTTCGCTGCACTTAAAATCGGTTTTGTCGATAAAAATCCCATCCGTAAATTATCTTGAGACGATGGAACAACGCCCGTATCCCAAACACCAAGAGGTTTAACAAACAAAATTTTAAGCGTGTCATTTGCTGAGAATTGTTATTATAATGGACGGCTTCCTGTCAATATTATAGGATAAAAGTGGACCCGATGTTTAATGAATTGATATTATTATCTACACTGCGAGACGACGACATGTTCCAACGGTACAAGCTAGTTCTCTTGTTGAACGTAATTCTAAACGGTTGTGTTAGATTAGAAACATATTCGAAATGTTCATTAGGCGTGTAGTCATAGATAGATCCATACGTGCACATATTGTGCCTGTATAATCGTGTCTATTGCTGATATTACGTTTCTATTAAAACCTATCGACGACAGTAGTTCGTCATTGCGCAAGCATTTTATATTCTTCACTTAGGTTGAATTTTTTTTGACAGTTGAATGTCATTAGCTGGTGACTCTTGGGTTCATTTTGTGAAGAAATGTGTTCTGAATTTCTCAACTTTTGAGATTGCGACAATTTTTTAAAAAATAATACATTTTATTAATATATCTGCCATATTTAAATGAAATTTGCTGTACAAACATTAATTCTAAAAATTAATTGAACAAAATTAAGAAGCAGTATTAAGAATACGGTTGGAATAATAAAACATTTTTAATGCGTTAGTCTTAGCGGGACAATAAAAAATAATAATCGGTTTATACTCAAAATAATGTTAATAAACTTTAAATGTTGTTGATATTAAAAATGAGTCTGATTGTTTTAATTTTATTAAAAGTTATACCAAAAATCAAGACTTTCATGAAAACCCGTTAACAACCGTAGCTTATTTTCAGTGAGAGTCATGGGCCCAAAATTTATTTGTTTTCTTCTCATCTTCCACTGCTTCACTACTGTCACTATTACACCTGTCTCTATTGATATTCAGAGAGTGTCGAGGATTGTCATACTTCCACACTATCAAACCATTCCACAAATTTTTCGTTATTTCTTTTATAAATCCTCTATGTAAATTTTAAGTTGAAACATTTTTTAGCTTATTTTTGTTTCAGTCTGAAATGCGTATGCTCATTTCTTTCCTACTTCTGAGAATGTTTCTATGTTTAGTAAGGCTTCTGCAGAATTGGACGGTACTGTTTCTTGTTGCGGCTGAAGGTCAAGAATAAACAATGTACTTGACTGACATTTCATAATCACTCAGCAGGAACTTATTTACTTATTTGTTATTTGGTTTCAACAGACCATTTTTTCCCGCAACAGCATATAGTGAATTTCTTCATTTTTGAGAGTTGTGGTCTGTTCATAGATATAAGAAAGTGACCAATTGCTTTTGAATGGGATTATCCAATTTAAATCCAGGTTAAATTGTTTTTAATATTCTTTGGTTTGGTATACTACTTAGTTTAAATTTATTAGTAATCATTCTTAATTCGTGTGTAACACAGCGTGTGTTGAATCGTGTGCGATGAAAGTGATCAAGATATAATACGGCGTAAAATTCAACAGTTATACGAGGAACAAAGCGTGCCTACATTAGATATCTTAATTAGGAGGCTTGAAAAAGATGAAACCGGTATTAAATGTGGCTGAAGTACCTTATGGAAGTGTATTCAACACATGGGTTTTAGATTTTAAAAAATTGACAAAAGGCAAGTTTCAATAGAATCTTTTAGAATTCGGAAATGGCGACTGGAATATCTAGAAAAAATTTGGATTTACAGAGACCAACAATTATTTACTCGGATGCGACCTGGTTCGACACTTATGATACCACGAAAAAGGGTTGGGTTAACTCAACTGATAAGTGTCAAACAAACGCGCCATCAAAAAGAGGTAAAAGAATAACTATTTTGCATGCTGTCTCTAAAGATGGTTGGGTTCCAAATGGATTTGTTCTGTCTGCAAAAAATATTAAAGATTCTTCTCTGGATTACCATGAAGACACCACCGCTGATTTATTTGAAAGTTGGTTTAAAAACAAACTCGTTCCAAACATTCCTCCTAATAACGTAATTCTAATAGACAATGCAAGTTATCACACTAGACAGTTGACTAAAAACCCTTCCTCACGTGACACAAAAGCAACAATCCAAAACTACATGTATAATAATGACATGTATTTCCAAGAAGATAATACCAAAAAGCAATTAATTGAGGTTCTACAAAGCTTGAACCTACAGAAGGAATACGTCTGTGATAATTATGCAAAAAATCTAGGGCATACAATTTTAAGGCCACCTTACCACTGTATATTTAATCCCATTGAACATGTTTGGCACCAACTGAAATCTGTCGTTCATCGTAACAATGTTTTTCCGCGTGTTAACTCCAATGTCCTCAAACTTATAGGAACCGAAGTTTTTAACCTCCCTCCACAAAGTTGGGCAAATTATGTTAAACATATAGAAAAGGCAGAACAATCGTATATCCATATCGCAAATAATAAATATAACAAATAATTAGAACAGGCGATGACAGCGATAGTGATACTGATATATTATGTGATTAATTTTAAATAATTTAAGTAGGTAATAAAAATAATTTGTAAATTTATTTTAGATTTAAACATAAATACATACATAAATAAATAAATATTGTTTAGTATATTTCCTAACAAAACCCCAAATAATTAAATTCTAAGCAAAGTACGGACCTGTTCGGCCATATTTCATTCTTACAGCTTGCCCGGGTCTTTCCTTAATTCGTATCAGTTAGTCACTTTCTTATATCTATGAACAGACTTTAAATTTATATTTTCTAGTTTCCAACACATATTCTTTGGCTTTTCAATTTGTATCAGATCTTTCACACTGTAAATAGAGCTAATGAAATAAACCCGAAAGTTCTCTTTTTTCAAAGACCGTGTGTAAATTTCGTTTCTATTGACTTGATTACATTTTTATTTGGCAGGATGTGCACTGCAATGATTTATGTGCCTTTCTTTCGCCGTTGCCTGAGCCATAGTGGAAAAAAAGACCACCCTGCATGTCAGCGGGTTTCCAATTTTAGCTGCCAACCTGGAAAAATGAATGACGGATTGCGGAACAGGTTGCCCCGCTTTATTACGGTGGGATTCGTGTTTTGTATTTACGGGTTGACCGATGAAGTAAGAAACGTACATTTTAAACAAAAAGCGGACAAAAATGTAATGCGAAATACAATAGAGTTAGAATAAAACGGAATTTCACAAAAAATAAAATTGAGTTGTTATCAAGTGCCACTAGAAAAGTATTAAGCTGCAATATTATATAATAAGTACATTATATGGGAAATTAACAAACATTTTATCAAAATCAAAACATAAATTCTTCCCATTTAGATGAATTTCAAGTTGTTGTTACTTTTAAAAGCTCCAAAATTCAAATGCATTTATAAAATCTTTCCGTTACCATCCTCAAAACTAAAGCTTTGTCGACGAAAACAAAAGCCGATTGTTACGTACAAGTTCGTTAATGCAATTGTATTTTGGCCGCTTTATGGTTCCAAAAGTTGAATTTTTGCACAATACAGCGCACTTCGGTCGCAGTTTGGAACAAATCCATAATTTTGTCTTAATGTCTTTGTTTCGTGGAAGACTGCTATCGCATAGTCTAAATGTAATTGAACGTAAACATTTGTAGATCTGATTTAAATTTATTTTGATATTTGTAAAGTTTGGTACATATTAGAAAATGTTGAATTTGACCAACAGAAGGCATTGTTCCAGTCGGTGACAATTGATAGTCTGTAAACATGATCCTTACATACATAAATTTGCAATGAACCTTAAAATAGTACGTCAAGAAAATCCCCAATATAAACCACACCTTTGGTATTTTCTAAATTTGCTCCGTGTTATTAGAGTTGAGAATCCTGTAATTTCCCATAAATTCACGATTGCTATTTTTTTACAGTACTTTTTTTTTAAGTTTTTCGAAAGAAGGGGTAATATATTAAAGACAATTTTTTGGAGAGCAGAAGTTTTTCTTACAATTTGGTGGATCAGCCAAATTTGTTAACGCCTGTATCCTATTCTACGATTTTTCTTTCTTAATCTAAGCGGTTTTCATTGAAATATTGAACTATTAAAAAGGAAAAGGTACCAGAACAGTACAGTATATTCAAATTTCGTTATACAGGGCTTTTCAAAAAACATGCGCCAACGCCCGGCTGAAGATTCGTCTACCAAAAAAAAAAAACAAGTGAGAAAAAGCCATAAATTCACGATTGCTATTTTTTTACAGTACTTTTTTTTTAAGTTTTTCGAAAGAAGGGGTAATATATTAAAGACAATTTTTTGGAGAGCAGAAGTTTTTCTTACAATTTGGTGGATCAGCCAAATTTGTTAACGCCTGTATCCTATTCTACGATTTTTCTTTCTTAATCTAAGCGGTTTTCATTGAAATATTGAACTATTAAAAAGGAAAAGGTACCAGAACAGTACAGTATATTCAAATTTCGTTATACAGGGCTTTTCAAAAAACATGCGCCAACGCCCGGCTGAAGATTCGTCTACCAAAAAAAAAAAAACAAGTGAGAAAAAGTGCATTTAAACTTAGGTCTAGAAATGCTTTAAAAAATCTCTTTTACAATGTATTAAATATTTTATTTACGATTTTATTTAAAAAGTTATTTGCTTCGAATAAGGCACTATAAGTACAACTTTCTTGACCAACGAGTTGTTTTCTCATCTCTGGTGTCATTTGGTCACAACAGGCAATAACACTAAAAAAAGTTAAAAATGATCTAGCTCACAAGCCGTTTTCTTTTAGAATGTTAAACACCCCGTATCCAGACCTCCGTTCATACGAATTTTTGGTGTACGCGTTTTGAAACCCATGTATTTTAATTTTATATATAGTAGGTTTAAACAGTGCTTAAATAAAATACACTTAAGGAATGTTAGGTATTTATACGTAAAATAGAATTTAAGAAAAATTATACCTGGTTGTGAATATCCAACCGACAGATTTCACGTTTAATGAAATTAGATTGCTGTGCGCAGAATGTTTTTGTCGTTTGGTCTTTAAAGGGTTAA